GCAGTGGGGAGGTTCTTGGGCTGCAGATGGCCCATGGCCAGGACTTTGAGACCCCTGATATAAATGAATCCCATCTTGTGCCTTGTGAGACAAATAATCATGTCATGACGTTACATCATTGTACAACAACATTGCATCCTCTTACCACAATTCAACAACATCACGTGAGGTGGCAGCAGCATCACAGCATTGCAAGGCCATAAATATATCTGGGACAATAACTGTCCTGTGAGCTGGGCTTGCAGAATAGATGGGTGAGAAGTTGGGATTGTCTCATAACTTGATTCTGGAATGGGTGGCTAACCCTAGTCTTGCCTTGTGCATCATTGGCTGGTTGGTGATATTTATTTTGTCCATGAATCTGTTTCAGGGAGCCTTCCAGAATGGTCAGCACAGAAGAGTTTCATCAGAAGAAGGAAGAATGTGACAAGCTGATGGAACAGAAAAGTCTTGGAGCAAAAGTAGGGGATTTGTAAATATTTCCTCCAGAGCTTATCTTTCTACAAAGAGCCTGATCCTTCTCCCAATGCTATAATCCCTCTTTGCTACCTTGGCAGCTGAAGTATCCCTTCCCCAGATTCTCAGCCTCCATGAGGCATCTGTCAGGGGTGGTGAGTTATATGGGCCCATGGTGCCCGGGCTCCAGCAATATTCAGGGCCCAGGGGCCTGGGTCCACCCATGTTTGGGGCCAGGTCTCTCCCCTGGCCCCGCCTGCTGCCCCCATGTGCCTCCCCCAGTCTTGAGTGTCCCTGCCACAAGCCGGTGGCTGCCCCCTGCAGCTCCTTGCTGTGCTCCACTCTGCCGGCTCCCTGCATCAACTACCGCTGCAGGGCCCTAATGCCCCCCATAGTATAAGGGCCCTACTGTTAATCAAACCCTAACCCCGCCCCTTGACCCCTTAAGCCCTGTCCCGTGACCCCTTAAGCCCTCCCACTTATCACCGGAAGTCCTGCCCCATGGGGTATTACTTCTGAGGTCAAGGTGGCCACATGACCAGAAGCAAGGTGTCTCATGTGACCCCTCTAATAACTCCTCCCACTGCCCTCTACCAATCAGGATGGGTTTCGTCCCAATAGGACCGCCCCAAGAGGAGATTTGACCAATCAGGGTGACTTCCAGGGTGGGGGTGACCCGTCCGGAAGTGGGTCGTGTGACCCCTCTAAGAACTCCTCCCACCACCCTCTACCAATCAGGATGGGTTTTGTCCCAAAATGACTTCCCTGCCTCCCAGATAACCTGCCAACCTTAAGTAACCAGCAACCACACACTACACCATAGTAACTCTAGCTCAGGAGCCAATCCATGCAACAAACCTTGATGCCAACACTGCCCACATATTTACACCAGCAACACCATCACAGGAACTAACCAGATCAGCCACAACATCACTGGTTCATTCACCTGCACGTTCACCAATGTAATATACGCCATTATGTGCCAGCAATGCCCCTCTGCTATGTACATCGGCCAAACTGGACAATCCCTACATAAAAGGATAAATGGACACAAATCATATATTAGGAATCGCAAGATACAAAAACCTGTAGGAGAACACTTCAACCTCCCTGGCCACACAATAGCAGATATTAAGGTAGCCATCCTGCAGCAAAAAAACTTCAGGACCAGACTCCAAAGAGAAACTGCTGAACTTCAGTTCATTTGCAAATTTGACACCATCAGCTCAGGATTAAACAAAGGGTGTGAATGGCTAGCCAACTACAAAAGCAGTTTCTCCTCCCTTGGTTTTCACACCTCAGCTGCTAGAAGAGGGCCTCATCCTCCCTGATTGAACTAACCTCATTATCTCCAGACTGATTCTTGCCTGCATATTTATACCTGCCTCTGGAAATTTCCACCACATGCGTCTGACAAAGTGGGTATTCACCCACGAAAGCTTATGCTCCAATACGTCTGTTAGTCTATAAGGTGCCACAGGTCTCTTTGTCACTTTTTACAGATCCAGACTATCACGGCTACCCCTCTGATACTTAAACAAGGTAGCAAACCCAGAAAATGTCAACGCAGGGGCTTTGGCACCTTCCATATGTCTGTGCACACTTCACTATTGCACTCTTCATCCTGCTTCCATTGGGGGAATCTCTGGGAATTGTTGGGCCCCTGAGATCACATGGTCCATAGGTAGTTTGGGAGGCCAATTCTGCACAAAGGCATAGCAACTGTGAGCGCCAATCTCAGGCCAGAGTGTCAGAAACAGGGCAGACACCCCAAACTGGTGGTATATTCTGTAATCAGAGTTCACCAATTCAGTAACAAACGTGAATTCCTGGATCGCTATATTAGTCTTACCATGGAGTCACAGCCAGTCCCCTTAGACTCTCTAGCCTATCTTGCCACCCAGATAAACTGGACTTTGTGATAATGGTCACTATGCTAAATATCACATCACATTAGGTTACTCCCAATCCCAAAGATCAGTTGCTTACCCTAGACCAATTGCTACTCTAGATGTTACCAAAAACAATGCTGGCAGCCAATTCTCTAGTAATCTAGCTAAAGATTTATCAGCTAAGAAAAATAAATGAGAAGTTAAAGCAGGTAAAAAACATTAATAAGTGAGTCAAATTTTGTAAGTCCAAAGTGACAGCATCCGAAGAAGTGGGCTGTAGCCCACGAAAGCTTATGCTCTAATAAATTTGTTAGTCTCTAAGGTGCCACAAGTACTCCTGTTCTTCTTTTAGCAGAGCTGTAGCAATCTGCTAGTTTTCCAAAAGTCCCTCGTGGTCAGTACTGGATTTACAATGGCTCCAGTGGCACTGTGGCACCAGGCCCATACTTGGAAGGGGCCCACAAAGGGTTAATCCAGTCCTGCCCACACCCCAGCAATGTGAAGATTTAGCAATTTACCAGTGATGGCTAAAACACTCAGCAGCCCTGTCACAGAGTTCCCAGGCGATGCTCTGGAACTGCTCCCTACACAGCCAGTCAGGACTTTGGTGAAGTCTCCTCTCTGTGAGCAGACTGTCTTCAGGGCAAGAAGCTCACACAGCTTCCACCTTCCTGGGTCTGCCCTTGGAGCATTCAGCATCCTCTGTCTCTCCGTGCGCTTCCCACATCGAGTTCGCCCAGGCGGGGTCCTGGGGAAGCCAGAGGGTCCTGCACCCCGACTTCACAGTCAGATGTGACTCTTAGCCAGCCAGTAAAACAGAGGTTTCTTAGATGACAGGAACACGGTCTAAAACAGAGCTTGTAGGTACAGAGAACAGGACCCCTCAGCCAGGTCCATTCTGGGGGGCAGTGAGCCAGACACCCACGTCTGCACTCACTCCACGTCCCCAGCCAGCTCCAAACGGAAACTCTCCAGCCCCTCCTCTCTGGCCTTTGTCTCTTCCCGGGCCAGGAGGTCACCTGATCTCTTTGTTCTCCAACACCTTTAGTTGGCATCTTTGCAGAGGAAGGGCCCAGGCCATTAGTTGCCAGGAGACAGAGTGCCTGATCCCCCCCATCTAGATACCTAAGAAATTCATAGGGGAAACTGAGGCACCCCTACAGTTTCAGAGGAAACATTAAGAACAGTCCCACTTTGTCACAAGCCCGGCTCAGGGTTACCCAGAAAATCAAAAAAACAAACAGTATTAAACACTAATGTTTTTACTTCATTAGACTCTATAAGTGTCACGGCTGGCCAAGCCTGTAAGGTCCCAATTCAGCTCACATTGATGGCAGTGTGAAGATTTGCACTGATTTAAATGGGAGTTGGATCAGGTCCTAAATCAACTATCCCCAAAATGGGCCCATGACTGTTGATGGCTGAGACTAGGACAGATTCTGAGCCCAGATAAGGATTTATTTTGGATTTAATGTTTCTCCAACCTCCTGCTGCCAGATCACCAGAACCTCTTGGCTGCCCACTTCTCTAGCATTACAACTAGACTCTGTGTAGTCCACTACTTATCTAGCCCCTGTTGCCATAGTATCTGAGTGTCTCCTGAGTATTTTAAACTAGAAATAGCAATAAAAAAACCTTTCTCTTCCTTTCCTGGATGTAGGAGAAAAAGCTCGATCAGCCTCTAGGCTTTGTGTTTGTTGGCTTGCTTCTGTTGGTGGGTGAGACTGAGGAGGGGCGTTGTACGTAGAGCTGAGCGAATTTTCACAGGCAACTTTTTGGGGGCAATAAACACAAAAAAATTTGGCAACAGTCAAACATTTGCAAATACATGTCAATTTTGCCACGTTTTTCATTTTGAATTTTTTAAGTCAAGCTGAAAAATGCCAAATGGACTGTTTCAATATTTTTCTGACCAAAGATTTTTGATAGTTTAGTTGGAAACAACTTTGTTTCAAATTTTCATTAAATTTTATTTTTAAATGTAACAGCTCAAATCAAAATAAAGCATTTCTTTTTTATGGAAACAAAACATTTCAATCAAGCCAAAATGAGACTTATTTTTTGCTGATTTATTTTTGAATTTTCAATTTGCTGAAAATGTTCAAGATTTACATTTTCATTTTGAACTGGAACTTTTTTTTTAATTGTGAAATTGCCCACAAGCCAAAAATCCCATTTTTCACCCAGTTCTACTGTGAAGACACCTATTTACTTCTATAAAAATTGAATCGTGTCCAAAAGCAAGCTCCCACTGCCAGGGCAGCAAATCTCTTGGCCTTCTACTCTGGTTTTGCAAAGAGATTGTCTGTCCACTTCTCTGGATACCATCAACACATTTAAACACCTCCCACATATTTAAAACTATAAATAGCAACAATAGTCTCTTTTTCAGCCTGCAGGAGAGCTGCATTAAATTGCTTATAGGTCAGGGGAGTGTGAGTGGGCGAAGGGGAACAGTGTACAAATAGACTATCATAAGAAAGCGAAGTCAAAGAAATTAGTTTAGCATTCAGCGTGGAAAGTTTAGAAGAGACATTTGCTATTTTAATAGAAGCATGGAGCAAAGCGCTTTATCTAACCCAGGCACAGCTCAGCCAGAGGTTTCACAGTGCAAGGAGTTGGATCACAGAACAGAGGCTTCAGAAGAGACCAACAGGTATGCTGGGCAATTGGAACTCAGTGGGTAATCACAGCATGTTTAATAAGAGCTCTAAGTTTCTGTTTTAAAATGGTTGTGAAGCTCTCATGCAGCGTTCTTCCTGTTGTCAGTGTTTGCAGTCAGAGACTGCATCATTATTATTTTTAACCCTAGCATTTGCAAATTTCAATCCAGGATGAAGACCACAGATATTTGCAACCAAAAATGACAAAATTCTGCACGTCCCCTCCCCTCCCCCTGAATGAAATCTTAAAGTGCTTTGATTTTGTACCAGTTAGAAAATTGCCATTTTTGTTTAAAGTAGTTTCACACCAAAATGATGGTTCCTGCACATACTGCAAGGGGAGAACAGGGTTTGCTTTTTCACTGACCACTGCTGAACTTGACCTTTTCTGCTCATTTGAGTTCACCCGCAGTCACGCACACATGCATCCTGAATCATCCCATGCTCAGCTGCAAAAGCTTGGCCAGTGTGTGTTTGTGCAGTAAGTCTTAACTATCGATTGAGCAGAGCTGCAGAGTTCAGCTCCAAAGCTGGACTTTCCTTACATTTGGGGGTACTTGGATCTGGAGTTTTGGGTCCGATCATTGTACAGATGGAGCAAGTTCAAGCTGCACAGTTTGGATCCTGTTTCAGTTTTAAAAGAGAGGTTTTCAACAGCAATGACACCCAGTGAAGAGCCAGAGAACTGCTCCTTCCGTTAATATTAGACAGTAGTTCATGAACCAGCCCTAGAAGAGAATTACAGACTTGCAGTTACCAATGGCCCCGGGCTCCCTCATCCTTTATCTGACACTGGGGTTCTGTGGCAGGGGGTCAGATCCTTACTCGGTCATTAACTGAATTGCAGGAATATCCTGAACCTGCAAAACTGAGCTGGAAATCTCTCCAGAACAGTATTTGGCATTTCTGGTCCTAGGAAGAACTGGGAAACACAGAAGCATCCATGAAACTGAAAAATGTCTTTAGAATGCTACAACCTATTTCTGTCTTTCTCTTTTCTTGACACTCTCTAAAATAGAAGTATCTTAAAAAATTGAAGACTGGTTTAAGCAAAATAGCTGGCTAGATTTTTTCCCCCAACCTCTGAAATGGTTTTAGATTCAGTTTAAGTTTTCTGTGGTGAGTTCTTATTTTATCTTGCCCAGTTCATCCTGCCCTAGAAATAATTGCCATCTGGCTGTTTTAGGGTTTTATACTGTCTCCCATCACGGTAGTACTAAGCGCCTTCTACATAAAATCAGTAGCAATAGTGAAGTCTTGAGTGGATTTCATGGAGACACTGGCACGTCACGCTTTTTGGGGTAAAACATCTGCTCGGGGCAGGGTTTTTTGTTTTGATATTTTTAGATTTTATTAATTTCCTCTTTTTTCTGTGACGGTTCGGGTTTACTGGGTAGAAGGTGGTGTCGGTGGTGTCACTGTTATGTTGGAAAGACTTCTAATGAGTTATCGGTCATCTTCAATAGCTCTGTGCCATCCAGAGGTGAAAGTGAAGCTCCACAGGATGAACTCACAGATTTGGATGGAACCAAGATGGAACAGCGGGTGAAATATGTGGAAGACAAACTCAGGTAAGTTTGGTGATCTGAAATTATATTCCATTTTAGACCCCTACCCTTGGGGCCAAACAAGTGTTCATGTTCCTAATGGATCTCTGAGGTTCGCACCATTCTTGTCATTTGCCCTCCTTGCCTTTTATTGAGATGCCGGCCCCTTCTTTGGCTAGAGAGACAATGTGCGGTCCTCCTTGTCTCCAGAGGCTCCGTGCTGTGCCTGGGCACTATTGCTTGGTGCTGACTCCTAGAGAGAGGGTGGCTAAGATCATCACAGGTCTCCCACATGGCAGGGCCATGGCCACCCAGCTGAGCAGATATGTTTTTAGCCATATGAGTCTTGTCTGTTTCAGTTTTTTGCTGAAGGGCTGACTAAGAATTTTGGGAGGGGCTTCAGCTTTTGCAGATGTTATTACTTTTATGGATATTTTATTAACTCTAATCCCCTTGCATCATTCTTTGCCTGACGGAAGGGAAATGAATGCTCGATTTGAAGGCGCAGAGAAACGACTAGAGGTTTTGCAAGAACGGCTCAGGTAAGTGGGGAGGGTCAGGCTTCAATGACAGTGAAAAATATTGTGATTCTTTCTCAAGTATCTACCATATTAAAGAAGTCTTGTACATTTCCAACTGGGCTTTCTTCTCGCTTGTGGGTGTTGATACTAAAATATCAACATGCCTAGTGATTGGACTAGCTCCATTTCTCCGGCTTGGCATCGCTCTCCATAGTCAGGTCCCGAGGCTGCCACCAACTTCAGTTTGTCTTGCAATGCAAATCTGACAGTGTGATGTAACCCCACAGCTTTATTATGCTGTGTGATTTTCATCTTGAAATCATGTCATGTTGTGAAACAATATGATGAATTTTAGCTCCATCCCAAATAGTTTTCTGAATAGGTAATACCGCCTTGTGCATCAGCGGGACACAGGATAAACCCACCCTTCCTGATATAGAAAGGGCGGGTGGTAAACTTATACTTGGCAGGACTGTGAGTGCAGCTGCCATGATAGCATACTCTGATCCTAGAGGAAAGGGAGAGTCTTGCATTACTTAGCAGTGACCTCTTAAAGCTATTTAAGGGGTGGCATTGACAAGCTCCTAAAGGAAGGGTGGCAGCTGGGATTATGGTGAGAGTGGAAAGGGGTGAACTGTGGGGGAGAGAAGAGAGGCAGTACCCTAGAGATGCAATTCACAAGCATAAAATGCCAAAATGAATCCTCCGAAAAGACCAAGAATAGTGATGAGCAAATCCAGCAAAGGTTGGTTCCAATAAACACACACAAGTAAGGATCTTCTTTAGTCTTATCTGAATCCCATATAACTGGGCTGGAAATTGGATAAGAACAGGCTTTAGTGTGAGATTTCCTGCAACTTCTGTGCTTGGTCAGGATGATATTACAATGACAGCAGCCTCTCTCCAGGGTATTTTGGAGCTTCCAATTCCAGCTACAAAAAGGAAATACAGAGGCAGCCAGGATAAGGAAAATAGCTAATCAATCTTTTTCAAAGCTGAAAGGTTTTTCTTAGAATTTTGTCAACTCAAGACTTGGTTGATGTAGGACAAAGGTTCAGGTTGTTAACAGAAAGTGATCCATGATACAGAGATTGGAACTAGATCCAAATTTCCCCCCAAATTCAGACCAAGTTGGATTCAGAGATTTTGTTCAACCAAGTACAGTAGGCTAGCTGCAAAGGCCGGATCTGGATCTGGATCTGAACTTCTCCAAAGTTCAGTTTTCTGGGTTTTGGTTTATTCCCATCTGCATTTTTTATTCAATGTTGTTTGTCCCATCTCTAGTCAGGAAGCAGCAAGTGAGACTGATTGCTGTGGTTCCAGATCGCAGGAGGCCACCAACAATAGTCAGTGCTTCGCTCAGAAGTGAGTAGTGTGTATTGTTGTTACTATTCTGTGAATTGCCTCTTCATCTAGAACCACTCACCCTCCTCCCATCCAACTAGTACATTTGTCACCTGTGAACTTGTTGGGACTCTACAAACACAACCTTGTGAACAAACTTCATGAAGGTGCATGAAGACAGCAGCACGCATGTCCGTGCTCAGGGAAAAGGTGATTTTTGCGAGTTAGGATCAAGCAATGTTGCTTGTCCATCAAAAGATGTTTATTACCCAAGGTTTTGACGCATTGGACTGAACCAGCTCTTATCAAAGTCAATGGGAATTTTGATATTGACTTCAGTGGCTGCTGGATCAGACCATCGTTTGTAACACACATTACCTTCCTCCTAAGTATAAATATCTGGGCTAGCGAATCCCTGCAGTATCTAAATGAATCCCATCAAGTGCCTTGTGTATTCAACCTGTGAAACAAGAAATCCACAATGTAATAACACTGCATTTGGCGGCAGCAACATCACATCATTGCAAGGCCATAAATACATCTGGGACAATAACTGTACTGCGAGCTGGGCTTGCAGAATAGATGGGTGAGAAGCTGGGACTGTCTTATAACTTCTGGAATGGGAGTGTCCTGTGCATCATTGGCTGGTTGGTGATATTTATTTTGTCCATGAAACTGTTTCATGGAGCTTTCCAGAATGATCAGCACAGAAAAGTTTCATCAGAAGGAGGAAGAATGTGAAACTCTGACGAAAGGAAAAAGAGTCTTAGAGCAAAAGTAGGGGATTTGTAAATATTTCCTCCAGAGCTTATCTTTCTACAAAGAGACTGATTCTTCTCCCAACGCTGTAACCCCTCTATGCCACCTTGGCAGCCCAAGTGTCCCCTCCCCAGATTCTCAGCCTCCATGAGGTATGTGTACTACTGGCTACAGTGAGATGGGCGACTATGGCAGCTCCGTGTCTGTCCCAGTACCCAAGTGCTGATGAAAGAGGCAAGCTCTCAAGACAAAATCCAAGTGCTGTTTAGATCATGCTAGCTGCCACTTGTGGAATATCACTGTGAGAGTGATACTTTTCCAGACAGAATCTGGCACACCCGGATGCTCCCTGGTCAGGCAGATATCAGTTTAGGGTTGGGAAGTACAGAGTGGAGGCTGTATCTTGTGAATTATATGGCAATTCATAAAGTATTTCCAGATTATTATTAGTTATCCTTTATGAATATCTCTTTATTCTTGATGTTTCTCCTTTGTATCTGGCTCTTCCATTTTAAAATGAACTTTTTAACTCCGCTTTTAGCCCTGGATTGGAGCCTGTCTTGGCCAATGCAATGAGAAGCCATAAATTCTCTGAGAACCTGAATGACCCTTGTCAAGAAGCAGATGTGCTGGAAATGTACAACAGGCTCAGGACACATGAATGGGAGAAAGCCAGATGTGCTGCAAGTGGCTCTGCCTTCCCAATGACATATGAAGAAGGTAGCACCATAATTAAGGTTTGTTCCTATTCATATCCTAGAACTCAAATGTATAAAGTCTTGAAAAAATAATAGCACTGTACAAGCCAGTCTAATGACCTGGCGTTTAGTACTTGCATGATCAAGCAGGAAACTAGACGTGTCCTAAGCACCTCTTGATGCCAACTGACAGAGGGCATGGGGTATGGGGATCCCCTAGGTGCATCAAAAGAATGCCATGTATGGTCTCTAATGAAAGCTTGTGTCACACATGACATCATAATCATTGTAAAAGGAATGTATAGAGTTAAGTGTATCTGCTGAAAATTAGGCTCTGTAGGACTGGTGGTTGAAGGCAGGTCACTGAAATGTAGCACACCATGAGACAAACTGTCCAGAGAGGAGGAGAGAGATACTTCTCTCTCTGGTGGGCCATTGTGTGCCTTACAATAAAATTCTATTCCCATACTGAGTCAAATGTTCATTAAGAGTTTCCAGAAACTTCAGAAGGAAATTAACTGTAAGAGATAAACAGCCGAGGGAGCCCTGTTTTCAGGTGAAGTTCAAAGGTCTGGCCTGGTATATCTGGGGGGTGCAGAGAGATGCTCTGGCATCCTTCAGTCTGTGAAGACAAGTTTCCAGCTGGATTGATCTTATGAAAGGGGGATCTCAGCCATCCTGGTTGAAAATGCTGGGGAAAAGACTGGGAGTAAGCTCTCCTGTAAGAGACAGGGGAATACTTTGAGAGTTTAGTTTAGCTGTAACAAGCATGTTATGGTTTATATGTAACTATTTGTTTCCAGTATTGTTACTTACTATCATTTGAATCTCTGTATTTTGATTTAAAAAAAAACGTATTCTTGTTTCACTATCCATGTATCTAAGTGCTGTGTGTTAAGCGGAGTGGTGATCCTGAGTTGACTCTAGTAAGCTGGTGTGTCCTGGGAGCAGAGAATCTGAGCGTTCTAAGAGTGTTAAATGAATTAGAGGCTGGATGTTCCAGGGGGATGCGCGGAGGACTCAGAAGTTGCTGGGTGCCTCTTGCTAACCTGTACAGAGAAGCGAGGCCTGCGGAGGCCTGGAAAGCAGGGCTTGTGTTGCCAGAGTCTGGGGGAGTCGGGTAGCTGGCACACAGCAGGTAGAGGAAAGACTTCCTCATGCTAAGGGCAGGTGGTAGCGAGGTGCCTCACAACCCTGGGTAACCCTGGGAAGTGTCACAAAAGGGTCAGCTACTATGTTGTTAACTCTTAGTTTCCAGCCCAGCATGGCCTATGGAATGCCATGGAGACCAACCTAATGGTGCTGCACAGTCCTGGCATTCAGAAGAGCAGGTTCAATTCCTTGTTGCCATTTCTCACTCCAACTAGGCATCATCTGAGAGTGTTGCAGCATTTTGTCTGGTTTCCTTCTGATTCCTTGTGCTGTGCCACATAGGAGATCTAGTTTTGATTTCTAATTGTTGCTTCAAGACTGAGTGTATTGGGGAAAAAAATCACCACTGTACATTAAGAGGACAGCACAGGTGCATAGAAATGGAGTGACTGCTGTCAGAAATGTCTGCACCAATTGTGCAGTGGGAGGTACCCACACTGGCACTCACTTAATTGATTAACCTCTAGCTATTACTGAGGTAACTTCAATCCCTGACAGCTACCTGAAGCATTTTTGCACATGGATTCAAGGTGCATTTCTACTGATTGAGGGATGTTACGGTCGAATGACCTTTCTACTGAAGATGAGATTTAAGTCTTGTACGTACTGCACCGTGACTCTTGATCCTCATCAATATTTACAGTGCTCTGTTGTTATCTTTGCACCGCAGGCTGTGTTTTCCATATGTGAAGAAGAGCTGTCACAAAGACTGGAGCGAATTTTTGAACTCCTTGAGATTCCAGTTTCGAAGAAATCCACAAGCCTCTTTGACAACAAACAGGTATTTAACATCATAGCGCAGTAGGACTTGGGTAGCAGCGGGAAGCTGGGTAACCTGCTTAGATCTGCCACCTCTTACAGCCTTATTCACACAAGGGAAATATCTCAAATGTCCCACAGTTGCTAAACCTGGTTCAGCACCAACTGTGTGAGTGATGCTGGAAGCAGGGCCGGCTCTAGGTTTTTTGCTGCCCCAAGCAAAAAAATTTTTGGCTCCCCCCCACCAGTGCCCTCCCCCACTCGCACCCCTGCCGCCCCAGGCCCCGCACGGCAGCACCCTGCCCTCTATTGCCCCACTGCTGCTTCTGGCTGCCCTGCTGCAGTCCCTGGGCAGCTTGGGCCACTTTGCCAAGCCCTGGCTGCGGCGCTGGAGGGCGGCCACCCTGCGGCACCTGCAGGCGGCGCCGTGCGCCCCGCGGGCGGCCCCCAGCCCGAGTGTCCCCCACTCGGAGCCTGCTTGGCCCAGCCATAAGGTGCAGGCGCGGCTCCCCGACACGAACCACAGTGGCCCCAGCGCACGGCACGCTGCTGCTGCCAGGGCCGGCTCCAGGCTTTTGCCGCTGGAAGCAGCAACAACAACAAACAACAACAACAGCAAAAGATGGCCAGAATGCCCCCCTTGAAAATGTGCTGTCCCAAGCACGTGCTTGGTTTGAGGGTGCCTAGAGCCGGCCCTGGCTGGAAGCCCTAACATAGACAGGCGCTACAATGGAAATAACCTGAGCTAAATTGTGAGTTGTGCAGGACAGGCAGAGTAGAGGGGAGAACTGAGATTCCTTTATATTTGTAATTGGTGTGACAGGAGAGTGGCTGAGTCATATGTAGTGTGGTAGGTCACATGACTGAGATACACTAATCCTGTCATGAACTGTCCGAAATGCACTTACAAGAGTTAGAAACCTCCTTCCAACCCCATGTCCCAGTCTGGACATTTGCCCAAACCCTGGGAGATGGAAGTTTCCAAATCACTGTTGGGCCAATAACCAGGAATTGGATTATTCCCATTTCATATCGGCTAAGTCAGGCTATTTTGTTCTTTGTTTGGTTTGTAGCTGCCCCCTGGGCTGGCAAGAGAGATAAAGTATCACCTTAAAAATCTCTATTTTAACTATGGAGAAGACTTTTACCAAGCCAAGAGTAGGGTGAGTAAATACCAAGCCTGGGAAAGGGTTCCATTTCCAAACATGTCTGTGAAACTCATGGTATTAAAAGATACACCACTGAGTTCTGTGCTTTATCGTCCACTTCTACCATAGGGGTGGGATTTGCCAAACCCCAAGAATTTTCCTGTCCAGCTCCTCCCTTTTACTCCTCTTTCCGCCCCCCTCAAAGGGCAGGTCTACACATAAAACACTGCAGCGGTGCAACTGTAGTGCTTCAGTGAAGATGCTACTACGCTGACAGAAGAAATCCACCTCTACGAGAGGCAGTAGCTATGTTGATGGGAGTAGCCCTCCTGTTGACCTAGTGCTGACTACCCGGGGGGCTAGGTTGGTATAACTACATTGCCCAGGGGTGTGGATTTTTCACACCCCCTCAGGGATGTAGTTAAAATGCTAAAGTAAGTTTGTAGTGTAGCTGCACATAGTAGTAATGTTTCTGGCTGAGGCGCTCTAGATGCTCCTCCCTTCGCACCCTGTTGATGCCACACCTTCCATCGGCCAGAAGGGGCTCTAGAGAATGTGCATCTGGCTTCTATGATGGGCCATGAGAGCTGGGCATACATTACACTGTGCTTTGTGAAACTGGGACAACAGTAAGGGGGTGGAACCCTGATTTCAATACCTATATTCCAGTTCTATAAAACCAGACTCTGTCCGGTTTCTTGTGGTAAATGTCTATCAGGGCTGCAATGGAGCTGTGTGGTCAGCCTGCAGTTTGAACCTTTCAAAAATCTCTGGTTTCTCTGGTCTCCTGAAAGGCTTTGTTTGGATATGTGGGAGAAAAGGCAGCCCAGGAATTTTGTCAGGCCTCTGGCACACTGAGTCCCGTAACCTAGAACTTCTCCTGATGGGGAGATCAGACTAAATAAAAGATCCCTGGATGTGTCTCCCTCACCACTAGCAGTTCTGGCTTATGAATTCCATTACTGATGTTAGTTACTCCATATTTATAAGCTGCAAACTGAGTCAAAGGATGGTGGTAGAATCTGCTTAACAATTAGCGTAACAACATTGCAAAACCCCTACGATACTCACTGTCCTCACTTTATTTTCAGCCTTCACTTTCTCCTGATCTACAGAAGTTTCAGCCACTTGTACATTTCACAGCAGAGTGCTACAAAATTTACTGTTTGTTGCTTCTTCAGAATCCGCCCATTAAAGCTGTGTGGCCCACAGAGGAAAGAATCCCAATCTCTTGCATACAGCATGTGGACAATAAAAACGTGGGGGATGGGATGCCATTAAACTTTCTGTGGCCCGTGCTGGCATGTGGGAGACTAGTATATAAGAAAGCTGTAATCTATGATTAAAAGGAATGGCTGTTTGGAATTCAATTATACCTCTGTGTTATAAAACAATAAAAAAAAAAATAGTGAAACGGCAGCCTTCCAGTTTGTGTCTTTTTTTTATTCAGGAAATGCCCAGGTTTTAGCTCTTGTAGCATATACTCTGGAAGGGGATGTGACACAGAGACCACTGGTGCCTGCTGGCAAAAGGTTCACTGCTTCATAGCAGCAAATCCTAACAGGCTTGACAAGCTTACTATACCTTGCACACAGCTTTCATAATAGTTATCCATAAAGAATGCCATGAGAGGTCTCAAATTAAAACCAGGATCGCACTGGTCATTAATAGGGTTGTGAAATGTATGTACAGATATTATGTGAGGGGTTATGTGCCTGTACTGGAAATATGTTTAGATTCGGTATCAAGGTATGAGTCACCATCGAAAGAGAGAAGCAATTTTTCTTCCAGACAGGAGATAATATGTGTCTCTCTCTGCCAAAATGTAAATTAAGATTGTAAACTAACACAATGTAATCCCCATCTACACAGGAAGTCAACAGAGCCATGTGAAGTCAATATAGAAGAGCACACTGGAAAAAACAAGTGATGGGGGAGTGATACTGCCCCTGACTAGAGACAATGAACTTTGGGAGATATAGGGAGAAGACAAAAAGACACCCTTTTATCCTGCACCTAGGAAGTAAATGAAGAGTGGTTTACATTTGTGAAAGCAGGATCTCAACCAACCTTGGCTGAAACACTGCAGAAAAGGCTTTGGGTAAAATAAACTTCTTTAGAAAGGGGTTTGGCTTGTGAAGTTAAGTTGAGTCTCTAGAAAGCATGTATTAATTTTCTTGTATATGTAACCATTCTGTTTCCATTAGCCTTACTCACTAATCATTTGAATCCTTGAATCTCTGTTCTTTGTTAATATGCTTAGTCTTGTTTTTACTATAAATATATCTAAGTGCTGTGGTGTTAAGCAAAGCAGTAATCCTGAGATAAATCATTCAAGTTGGTATGTGCACTGTCCTTTTGAGGACAGCAGCCCTGGTATTTCTGTGAGTGTTCAGTGGATAAGGTGCTGCACACTGCAGGGGAATGCCTCAAAAGGGCTTGGGAACTGGGGTGCACCGATTGCTAACCTTCAAGATTTGGGTGGCTAAAAGGCTATTGGTATTAAGGAGCTGACACCCAGCAAAGCACAAGCAAGTTTCCCTCTCACGGGAGGCGGGGGATGGGGGAATAACATGGTGACTCACAGTCCTAGGCTTTTGCAACAGATCAGCCCTTTCAGTTACACAAACGCTACACACAGTAGGAGGCCTGGTTCTTTTATTTGGTAGCATCATCTGCATAGAAGACATTGGATTGCTTGTTCCTGGTTAAGACCACTGGGACTAAAATGTTGCATTCCTGCCCTTCCATCAATAACTACAAATGAATGGCCCTGATCCAGCAATCCTTTCTCAGGCAAAACTTTTATTGACCTCAGTAGTAGTTTCGCCCAACTATGTACAGCAGGACTGGGCCCCAGATCATTTAAGCACCGGACTTGCAATGAATGGTAATGATAAAGGGCCTGAAAAAAATCATCTATCTGCTCCAATCAGACAATGAAGTCAGAGAGTCCTCTTCCCCTGCCTCCCCTCCCCCCCAAACGCTCTTCCTCCTATGCAGGCTTCTCAGCATGTGCTAATAAGCTTGGAGATCTGGCTTGGGAAGACAGTTTATGAAATCCAATGCAAGGGATTAGATTAAAATGACCAGTCTCACTTGTTTGTCTTGTTACTGAAGGACTGGCAAACGATCGGATTCCCTCTTAATATTCCTCAGTGGGTGCTCAGCTTCTCTGCACGCTCTCCGGGGGAAATTCTTCAACATCCACTTCCAGGAACTGAAATACACCATCCAGCTCCTTGTCAAAATGCTTGCTAGTAGACATGCAGCTTACAGAAGATACAATCCAGATCTGAATGGGCAAGGAAACAGTGGGATGGGAAAGACCCAAGATTTAAATCTGGATGGGGATAGGCATGGACAAACTGACCTGCAAACCACTATAACAAACACCATGTCTACTGCGGTGCCTGGAAGGTGGTGAGAACAGATGGCTATTATGGTTTGGTTGCTCATTTCTATTCACCCTGTCACACCTTTCTGCTCCTGGAATGCCAAACATGAACACAATATTATCCACTCAAACTGACCTATTCACTTCTGCATCTAACTTTGGACTCCCCAAGATACCAATCTTCAAACAAATTATCTAGCATCTCATCTTAGAATTATAAAACAGGACAAGAGTACAATTTCCAAGCCAACATAATGTACTATTTAATATGGTGTAACATGCCTTGGTTAATAAAACATAAAATGAAAATAAAGAGGCTGAAGGTTAATCCAAGTTACATTGTTCATTTCTATTCAATCAGTCAAAATAATAACACAGTGACTATTCGTATTTATAAAGCACCTCTCCCCCAAAGTGCTACACATTTTAGTGTCATTTAAAAATAGTCAGGGAGGGGCTAAAACAAATCTCAAGGAGGAGTGACTTCCAGATCACCCAAGTGAGGACCCAAATGCCCACCACCTGGTCTGTAGTGGAGAGATCCCTGAAAAGCTGGTGACTTCAGAATATAAATATATCCCAGAGAAGAAGGCTCCAGATTGAGATCTTGAATCTGGCCAGGTTCTGTACCACTAAGAACCCAGATCCCCAGCTGTTGTCAATTGTTGCAGCTCCACTGATGTAATGGAGCAACAATGATTTACACCAGCTAGTGAGCTGACCTAAAATCTTTAAAAAACTATCCGGGCCAAATTAAAGTCCAGGTCCTGCTTTGCAGCCAGTCAGTGTAAAGAATGCAGGGTGTGCCTAACATGATCAGAGCTGCCAACAGCCCTGATCAACAGAAAGGGAAATGGGTAATACTCAGAAAGACAAGAGATCCAGATAAATACATTGGCATCTAAATGCTACTCCAAACCTCTGCCTGTGCTAAAATGAGCTGGAAAACTCGGGAGAACTGATTTTATCATGTGACTTCCAGTATTTCTGGCTTCTGAGTGGTGAGAAATACCAGCAAGAACATCTTTGTTCATGGTATATGAGGGCTTTCCATTTTGGACCTGCCTGGAAGTTCCAGGTGGAAAGAGAATAAGTCTGCCAAACTTTTTCTAAATCTCAACATGGTTCTTGTTTTGGTCCAAGTAGGTGCCTATTATATCTGAACTCGTCCATCCATTCCTAGTACAGGTTTGCAAAAATGTCTATATTGATGACCAGACATAACAGAGATACTGGCTCAGATATCAGGCTGCAGCCATAGTGAGATTGGCATAGCCCACAATATGGAGTAGGGGACAAAGGTGACTTAATGCCATTTTACACACCCTGGATTCTGGGGCTGCCAGAAACCAGTTCAGTCCCCAGCATAAGCAAGAGCAGCTCCAAAGGCTGCCCTAACTTATGTCCTGGCAGCAGCTATCCCCAAGGAACATTCAGAAGCTCAACATAACATAAGAATATAAGAATGTCTATACTGGGTGAGACCAAAGGTCTATCTAGTGCAGTATCCTGTCTTCTGACAGTGGCCAACGCCAGGTGCCCCAGAAGGAATAAACAGAACGGGTAATCATCAAGGGATCCATCCCCTGTTGCCCATTCCCAGCTTCTGGCAAACAGAGGCTAGGAACACTAGCCCTGCCCATCCTGGCTAATAGCCATTGATGGACCTTATCCTCCGTGAACTTATCTAGTTCTTTTTTGAACCCTGTTATAGTCTTGGCCTTTACAACATCCTCTGGCAAAGAGTTCCACAGGTTGACTGTGCGTTGTGTGAAAAAATACTTCCTTTTGTTTGTTTTAAACCTGCTGCCTATTAATTTCATTTGGTGAACCTTAGTTCTTGTGTTATGAGAAGGAATAAATAACACTTCCTTATTTACTTTCTCCACACCAGCCATGAGTTCTCCAGCCATAGCCACTCCCTCTCCCCACGTGCCTCTTCCCTCCCCTTGGCACAATACTAAACTTGGGGTTGCAAACGGGAAGCAGTAAAGGCCCATTCTGCAGGCCTTATGTCACTAGTGAACCCTTCTTACATTGGGTTGGTGGAAGCAGATTCCCCAGTGTGAAAATCTGGTTGGTTTTCATCCTCTTTGTTCTGCAGGAGCAGTGTAAAGGAGCCACACAGCCAGGGCCGGCTCCAGGGTTTTGGCCACCCCAAGCAGCCAAAAAAAAAAGCCGCGATCGCAATCTGCAGCGGCAATTCAGCAGAAGGTCCTTCGCTCCGAGCGGGAGTGAGGGACCGTCCGCAGAATTGCCGCCGAATAGCTGGACCTTCCGCCCCTCTCCGGAGTGGCCGCCCCAAGCACCTGCTTGCCAAGCTGGTGCCTGGAGCCGGCCCTGCACATAGCAGCCCAGAATCAGAGCCCAAGTGTGCCTTGCTACTGTGCACGGGACTCATTACCTTTTCAGCAGATGCCACACCTTCAGAGAATTCTGTTTTATACTTTGACAGACCAAGAAACAACATCTCTGTCATCTCATGACTCTTTTGTAGTCCTTTGATCATAACATTAATCTCCTTCCAGAATGTTTTCACTTTCAAAATCACCATCTGGATTCTGGTTAAATGCTTGGATACCTCTTTCAAGTGCTTATTTTCCCCTGGGGTAGCCAGTGAACAATATTCGAACATAAGCCATTTCAGCAAACAATGATTTGCATAAATGTCTCTCTCTTATGGAAAGAAAAATTTATTGAATTGCTAGTTAAAGATACTCTATCTATACATTTTTTATAGGAGAGATCTCATTCTCTATTGCAATTTTTAGGTTTTTCAAAGTAATTTTCTATTAAACTTTATGGGTTTCCATCCTTATTAAAGTCTTTTGGACTTTTCCATACAGTACTAAAACTAAATCAGTTCTTACCTATATGGCGACCCAGCATGCTTTGCAGGAAAGCAGAAAAGAGAACATTTTGCACCTTTATGAAAAAGAAAAAGAAACAAACAAAGCTGCAAACCAGAGAAGTTGTACTAAATGATAGAGACACAGTCAGTTAATTTAGGATAGGCAAATCTCATTGCTTCAAACTTCTTTTAAACTGCATTACAAATAGATGTGTTTCTATTATGTTAGATATCAAAGACCAAGTGTCTTCTTTAACTTTAACCCTTCTCCTGCAATGCTGGAAATGCTGGGCTAGAACTTGCCAGCCAGAAAGTGAGACTAACTAGAAAGAAATGTGAGAAAGTGATAAATAGCTGGGCCTGAGCAAAAGGAACAAATGGGCAGGGAACATGTCTGACTGAGGCATGTGTTGTAGGTATGGCACTTGTATCAGACAAGACTTGGTTTTTGTGAACTGCACTTGGTTATTCTAGGACTTGGCAGCTGCAGCCACCATTTTGAAAGCCTTGTATGGAAGTGTTCATTCTCATAGAGACTTGACTTCACCCTGCGCAATCTCCCTAGCACAGATGTGTTGTAAAAAGTGACTTACCCCAGTACAGATTACCCTGGTGGCAATAGCAGTAGCTACATAGTGCCAAACACGTTTGTGTAGCCAGGCCTTGAGCTCCATGGTGTTACTCCTGGGGGAATTCTGCGCCACAATATTTGAAAATTCTGCATATTTTATTTGTCAAAATAACACAATATAATCATGCCAGTTTCAGTTATTTTGGTAATTTATTTCAAAATATCTGTCAGCAAGTATGTCTGTAACAATACAGAGCAATAAAGAAAAAAAGATTCTGTTTTTTTTTGACAAATAGCTTCCTTTCTAGGCATGTTAATGTAGAACTTTGAGTAATTCATTTAAATTAAAATACAGAACTATATTTCCTGCACCTATCAGAGCTAGTGCAAAGGCTTGGGGGAGTCAGGGGTAATGGTGGAGCTGAGGGAGGGGAAAGGAGCCTAGGAGTGAACTTGGAGGGTGTTGGGTGGGAGAAGGTTTTTTGGTGGGGAATGGGATTGTTAGGGAGTTGGGAAGCCTACCCCATGCAGACCCTGGTTGACCCCAAGCCTCTCCCATTCAGTCAGGCGCATCTGCCCCTGTCCCCGCACTCCCCATCACTATGGGTCTCTGCAGCCCTCCTCTGCCGTCTCCAGGGTCAGCGTTGTCACCCCACTAGCCCCTGAGCCCATGCCCCAGTCTGTCCCACTCCCCAGCCATTCTGAACCCCAGTTTGTGACACCCCCCCCCAGCAGCCCTGTGTGGCCCACTCTGTCCAAACCTGGCTCTGCGGGCAGGGTGCTGTGATGAACTTCTACTCCTGGGGGAATTCTGCAGAACTGGGCATAGAATTTTTTTTTCCACACAGAAAATACATTCTGCCTCAGAAGTGCTGCAGTTTCGCATTTTTCCCACCAGAGGCCGCTGTGGCACCAGAACAGCTGGGTGCATTGATGCAGCCGGCTGTTCTGGTGCCATAGCGGCCTCTGGTGGGAAAAAGGTGGAAATGCAGCATTTCTTGGACAAAATGTATTTTAGGTGGGAAAATACAAAATTATTCGGGACAGAAGAATTCTGTGTGTCTGCAGATGCGCAGAATTTCCCCAGGAGTAATGGTGTGCAGGTGAAGTGCACCTACTTCTACACCCTTTCAGGGGCTGCAGCAAACCCCAGCCTGCATGGCCAAAGGGTGCAGAGGAGGGAATGGGGCCATGACACTGCTTCAGCCCTTCTTTCTGTGGATCCCTGAGGAATATAGAGGGAACGCTCCTCCATTTGCAGGGACTACAGTTGTGCCAGACCCTTAAATATGCTCCTTCTGACCCCGCCCCTCCCCACTCATGTAAGGGCCGGAAACAATCTGACCCTAACGCATTTTAACTAGCCATGGTGACGGGGGAAGAGAAGATGATTTAAGGGCAAAGAGACAAAGCAAGGGGTGGAGATGCAATAAGGGACCAGGCTCCTTGAGCCCCGTGTTCTTTTCTTGTCTGTCCTTTCTTCCTGCCTTTCTCCTGTACTTGCTTTCATGCTCTGTTTGGAGATGTCAGTCTGTTTCTCAAGGGCAGAGAAGCTGAAATACAAATGTGGCTTCTGGTGAAGCAAATATTGAGCAAGCACTTAAATAAGCAGCCAAAGGAGCAGTGATGGGACTATTCAGGACAGAGGGTGGAAGTATTCAAAACTCTTTATGTACCTAACATGGCTGGTTCAGGGATATTGAACCCAAGCCGGCTACAGTGTGAGGTGAGGGACAAAGGACCAGATTTTTAAAGGTGCTTAAAGATCCAGAGTGGCACATAGGCCAGATCTTCAACAATATTTAGGTGCTGAACCTACTTTGCTTTCAATTGGAGTTAGTCACCTAAATGCCTTTGAGGATCTGGGCCATAGTGGGATTTCCAAAAGCACCTCCAAGGTGCCCTC